AACAAGCCGAAGTCTCGCACCGAATTGATCCTTCCAATAACCAGGTCTCCACGCTCCACGTCTCTGTAGAAGAGCTCCCGTCTCTCCTCAACACACACCTCCATGAACTGCTCCAGCGGAGGCATGACGGCGTGTGCATCTGAAACAACATACATGCATTATCAGAGGGAGAGTTCATCGTTTAATCGCACGCATGTCATTCACTTTCATGAGACGGGATGCTCTTGGAGCGACGTGATTGCATGATGCTGTTGCTAGAACTGAATGAGGTTCACCTCCAGGTTCGTCCGGCCGTTCATCTGCTGGTGTAGAGGTCTTCCGCGACGCTGCAAACAGAAGATCAGCTTTCCTTGCTATGAACTGCTCCAGGACAGGACTCGCCTCTTCTGTATCCCTGTTTCAAAACAATGACATGACGCTCATTTATTGGCAATACATTATCAAAATGTTACACGAATAATATTCTCACGTGACAAAATGGTCTATGGAAGAACTGTTACCGCTCCGGGATAAAAAAAAATATATAAACTGATAATTGCAAGAACTCTAAGCACTTCTGAGAAGAAACGGTACGGAAAAGAACAGCGCGAACATTCTGTTAAATATCTCCACAGAAGAAAGCCTCTGTAGCCACATGCAGGTGAGTAATTAATGCAACACAAATATGATATAAGGGATACAAATAATCACGTGCAGCTATTATCAAATGGTCGCTTACCTTTGATTGAGAGTTTTGGAGAGATCAGCAGCAGCCACATATTTGAAGTCTGGGTTCTCCCTTTGCTCGCATGTTAACAGCGCCAGCAGGTTTCCCCCATGATACGACACAGACTGTCTGAGCAAGTCTCTCTCCATCACCACATAGCGACACTCAGCGCGCGCAGGTATAGTACTGTATTAGCAGCGACTGGAACGAAAAGAAGACTTGTACTACCTGATCGACTAAGTGACCAGCTGAGCTTGCGGATATTTGCTGAGACTCGAGAAGTTATGAAAGTGTGCGGGTTTGAGCAGAAATAAGCGCAGCTGTAAACGTGCTCGTGCCAAACGCGAGACGTGGAAACCGGAAGCGAACCGGAAGAACGACTCCACTTTAACCATTTTGGGGCATCTTTAAAAATATATACTTGTTCAATTCGTCGACAATGCATTAACGCAGCTATTTAAAATGCTGTTGGTTTTAGCTTGAACGGAAGCATTCGCCAAACAAGAAAAGCACGAGATGCGGTAGTTAACGTGACACGTTTAGTCGTTCAACTAAAAAACAACATCAGGTCCGGTGGTTTTCAAAATAAAAGTCCTCCTACAAAAGCACAAATACATCAACAACATAGTTCACGCTTGCAC